TGTGTAATTCCTTACTGTCAGGCCTGTCTGCTTTCATCAGTGCAGTGCTTTTCTTTCATTTGCCTTTGGTCTGAGCAGCTGCTAGGGGGGAAGGGTATGTCCTGCAAATGGATTGGAGACCCTTCCTGGTGGTGCCCAATTCTGCCAGGCAGTGTCTTGTGTTTGTAGAGCTTGTGCTGGATGGTGGTTGTGTTCCAAGAGATGCCCTTTAGGGAAATGTCTTTTCACTCTGGAGTTGGAAGTGTCTGTGGTAACTCCACAACTCTCTTGTCATGGGGAGCTGCAGCTCGAGCTAGGGTTGGCATTGAAATCCCAGAGTAGTCTCTCAGCTGTGTTAGGATGCTGCTTCAGAGCACTTTTCTGCAGGGTTCTGCTTAATAAATACCTACAGCTGACAGAAATCATGTTCATATTTCTGTAAATAATACAGACTTCTGTTCAAATGTGAAGTACCTTGAAATCTTCATTTCCCCTACCATCACTTTTTAACGTCCCTGTTTCTTCTAAGGACAAAGGGGAACAGGGCAGGAGTTCATGACCTCCCTGCAGTGCCTGTGTGCCGTGGGCATGGCTCTGAGGAGGTGACAGCACGGGGAGCTTTGCTCCTCACTGCACTGACCAGTTCCTGTGCGCTGTGCAGGGGGACATGGTGGAAGAACTTCTCCTGACAGGGAATGGTGCCAGCTCTCTGGTTGTGCTACTTGGCAAGTGCCTGACTAAGGGCTGGGCTGGACAGGACAGAGCCTGCTGTAAAGGAGCTGCTCTGATGAGTATGTAGAGCTGACTTTTGGAAAGTCGTCCTCAGGCTCGCAATAACTTAATTAAGTGTTTATTAGGATAAAACATTGCCAGCAGCTGCTCAGGTGCCTCCTTGCTTTCCTTGCCGTGCTCTTAAAAAGGTTTTCTCTTCTTCCTCTACGCAACAGATTCAAAAGAAAACTATAAGGTTCCTTTTTGAGTAATTTACACTGAGGACTGAGAATTTCTCATCGAAACTGGTGGGTGGTGCAGATTCACCTGTCTCCTGGCAGGTGGGGCAGCTCCCCAGCCGAGCAGCCCCTCTGATGGAAGGCATCATCCAGGAGGGTCATGGCAAAGCTTCCAGTGATTCCTGTTGTTGCATCACTTTGGCATAGTCCCTAAACCAGTAACACTTTTGTGTCTTCAGACCAGTTTATTGGTGTTTGTCCTTGCAGTTCATGAACGGAGCTGTGCAGGGTAGCAGCTGGGAAGGTATTTGCTGTTTGTTTGCCATCTGTAAGTTCTATGTGGATCCCATTTTGTAGCATAATGAGAATTTGGTATGAACTGTGCAGTGTTTTCCTCGTGCACGAGGAGCTCAGCCCCTGGGCAGCAAGTCAGGCAGCACGGGAATCACTTCTGTTTCCTGCTGTTAATGCTTGTTAGAAATGGAGTCTTCTGAGGGGAATGTCCGTGCTTTTTGTGCAAAAGGCTTTAAATAATCTGATGTGACTTGTACAGTTTCTACAAAATCTTTTCTGCCTGGGAGTAAAATCAGTACAAGTAGCGATTTCCGTAGGAGTTCCTTAAATTTTCCACTTTGTGTTGGTTCTCTTCCCAGTGAGCAGGGAATTACAAATAGCACATCACTGGTGGCCTTGGGGTTACTGCTTCACTGTAGAAGTGAGCAGGCTGAACATGGAACAGAAGGGGGTTTTTCCCCCCAGCAGTAGTGCTGAGGAGTGCTTATGGATTTAATCACTCCTTTATAGGCATGTCCCGAGTAAGTCTGCTCCAGAAGAAAGCCTTGTGCAGTCCAGAGGGCTGATGACGAGCCTGGTGTGCTGATAAAACACAGCTCAGCTTTGTTACCTCTGCCAAGTTGGCTCTTTGTCTTCTGCTGTCCTGGGCTCAACTTCTCCCACGTTGAGTGTCTTTTAACACCCAATCTGTCCCAGGAGATAGTTTCAAAGAGCATTGAAGCTCCTGTAGGCTTTGGCAAACCAGATTTTGTGGAGTACTTCAAAGCCCAGGTTACTCTTGGGAGCCGTTGAGCTGTCAGCAGGGTGAAATCAGTAGTGGATGGCAGCACAGCTCTGCTGGTATGGTGAGCACAGTCCCACATTGTGAGGGTTGTTTTGAGCCCTAATTGCCCTTTTCACACACATCTTTTCTACCTTCTGTGTTTCTGAAGCATCTGGGGTAGAGCCTGTTAGCATCCCACCCAAGGAATCCTCTCTCCTTTTGTATTAGGGGTAGTATCCAAAGGTGATCTTGCCCTGAAATATGGAGTTTTTGGGAAAGGTCATGGCAGGGACTGTCCAAACAGGATGGACCCAAATTGAGCAGCCATCTCTGTGTGGCACAGAGGATGTCAGGCCGGTGATTGATTGCTTTTTTTCCCCTTGTTGTGCACCAAAATAAGCATCTCCTGAAAGAACAGTGTTAAGCTTTGCTGGTAGTTATTATTAGAGCTCCTTGGACTTTCCTATTAATTTGTGGCCTTTCCTCCCAAGATTTTCTGTGCTGCTTGAATCTCAGGGCAAGGGCTTGGTGTTGTGTGTGTGTATTGTTGTTTTTTTTTGCTGAGATGCTGTGCTGGGTATCGATGTGTGTTTGGTGTTGGGAGTTCAGGGTGGGCCATGCCGAGGGTGTGCCGTGCCCTCATCTGCACAGTGAGTGTCCCCAGAGCTGGATTTGGCAGAAGGACCAGGGCTCTTGTGTCTGTAGATTTGCCCTTGTCCCAGCAGTGCTGATGGCCATCTCCTGCCCTCGCTCCTGCCCTGGGGGAGGTGCTGCCCTCCCTGCTTGACCTCCCGGTTCCACAAGAACGATCTGCTTTGCCACATTCTTCAGCTCTTCCAATCCTTTGTATGGGAAATCACATTCCCTTTCCCTAGTCTTACCAAGTCAAACTTAGTGCTTGTGGTTAATGGCCCAAAACAAGGCTGTCCTGGCTTTAGAAGAGAAGGTGGCCTCCTGGAAGGATGCACCTGATGGGAATCTCTTCAGTTCTGCCGCTGGTTCCTTTCCAGGCCGGTGGCTGAGAGCTGGTGATAAGAGAAAGTGATGGAATTGAGAAGATTTTTAACCTCCCAGCCCTCCAGCTACGTGCTGCTGTATCCACTAAAAATAGTTTCTAATTCCACCTTCTGGGGGAACCTCAGGCACAGGCTAAAGGATTGCTAATATTAGTTGTCGGCTTTGCTGATAAACTGTGTGAAAAGTGGCTGTGAGTGCTGAGTTCTTTCTCCTCCTGTGCAGCCTAACATCTTTTAACAGTTTTCTTCTATGGTGAGATTATAAAGGGAGGAGAAGAATTTATTTTTATCATTAATAATAATATTACTATTTTTTTAAGTATCTTCGAGATAACTCAGTGTTTCTCCAGTTCAGGCTGGAGGAAATTGTGCAGCTTGAGAGCTTTCAGAGGATTTATTTGTCACCAAAAGCTAGAAAGGCTGAGTCAAATTTTTTAATGTGAGTCTGAGGAAACATCTGTGCTTGGTGTGCCAATGACTTTATTATGTTTTGGTTTTAATTTTAGTATAGGTAAAGATCTCTGATCCATTTTAACTTGGGATGAGTGATTTTCTCCTTTTTGAAATTCTGTTTTGTTGAAACATCCAGAGCATGTTTGACATCTGGTTCAACTTCAGAAAGAAATTTCTGGGAGAAACTTTGTCAGCGAGGAGTGCTGAGGGTATGACAGCACGGTCTAAACATTGGGATATGCTGCAGGCTTTAGAAAGGTCTTTTTGAATCTGTGCATCTGCTTTGCTGGAGCTTGGAAAACTTCATTTTTTCATGTCCCCAGCAGCAAAATGGAGAGGTGCCCAGAAATGTGCCTGAGCTTAGAGGGAAATCCAACTTTTTAACACAAGCTTGTGTAATTCTTGTGCCTATAAAAGTGTAGTTGGCAAGGCCTTTGCTAAAGCAGTCAACCCCAAATAATGAAAATACGTGGCAGGGCTTTTTACTCTATTAGTAATTTCCCAGTCCTTGTCTCTTAAAAGCAGGGAATAAATAATTATGTTTGATATTTGTTTAAGGAGCTAAAGGAATTAAGTTCCTAAGCTTTGCTCAGCTGAAGGACAAGCCAACATCTTTTTCAAGGCCGAGAGCTGCTGGAATGCACAATGCCAGGGACTCTCCCGTTCTGTCTTACCATATTCATCAACCATCCTGTTGACTACAGAATTGCTTCTGGCTTTCTTCAAAGCCTGTATGACTGTCTTATCAATTCTGAGAAAAGCAGGAACCCTCAAGTATGCAACAGGATGGCTGAATTGCAAAACCTGGAGTGTGTCTTGCTTTTTCCACGAACCACAACATCTCTAAGAAAGCTACTGGAAGATGTGCTTAAAATACCAGCTGTTCCTCAGAATCTGGGAATTCTTTACTGCCCCTTTTTTACAAACTTCTCTCCTCATGTGACTTCAGAAAGGGCAAAATCAGGGCAGTAAGTGGTGTCTGATTTCAACAGCATTACAGTTTTGTTTTTAATTTATAAGTCATTGAGAGTTAATTATCGTGCAACTCATAGACAGTAGTTTCGTGATTTCTTAGTCTGTTGTGTACACTAATTTTCTTTTGGCTAACTGCAGAAGGGAGACATTTGTTTCTGCAGGGCATCAGCTGTGTCTGAACCACAGAGCTCGGGGTTAACGGAGTCCGTAATTACCGAGGTGCGTGGGCTCGCTCTGCTCGTCACCGTTCAGAAATGTGGATGTCTCATCTTGACTTCCAAATCCAGAACGTAGCCATAGGTTCCACCTCTGCAGGCAGAGTGGCACCAGGCATGTGTTCTGCTTTTCAGTGTTTCTCTTTTTGTGTTGTTCTCAGTTATGCTTTGAGTGTTTGCAGCACTTAACATGAGGGGGAAAGTTCTTTACCAACAGAATAATTTGGTCTAAATCACTTCCTTGCAAAAGAACAGAGCGTGCATTCAGTGCCTTGAACTTCTCTTGTTCATTGCTTTTTTTCCTTTTAAATACAAGACGGTTTTCCTCACTCTCTGTTTGTCTCTCCCCTTGCAGTATCAGCGAAAGCTTCCTCACTGTGAAAGGTGCAGCTCTTTTCCTGCCACGTGGAAATGGGTCATCCACTCCCAGGATCAGTCACAGGCGCAACAAACATGCAGGTAAAGTGGTGTATCGGTGACTGGGGCTTGTCTGTTCCCTCTAATTTCCAAGTCCACTTTTCTCGAGTTCATTTTCACCTCATGACACACATTTCTGTCTGCTCCTGGTGTTTGTTAAAGCCTGACCTGCCAGTCTCAAGGCTGTGCTGATTGATGCTGATTAGATGGAAAGGTTTCAGAACTCTTGTTTATCCTGTGAAAATGAGGGACATCGAGGCAGTAGTCATGACATCATGGAGACTTCAGAATAACCAAAATACCATCCTGTAATTTTTGTATGAGAGGGGGGATGGGAGGATTGCCATGAAAACCTTCAGGCATTGCACTGGGAAACCTGAGGTTGTGATATGGGATGAGTAATTGTTGTTTCTAATCTGAAAGTAACCGGTTATGATGGAGGGAAGGGAGGATATTTACCTCTGTGTGGGGGTGAGGAAACCTCTGAGCAAAGTCACTGTGACTTCTCAGAGGTGTGAGCAGAGTGAGTAATACAGAGTCGGTTATAATTCCGCCTCCTTTATCTGCTCCAAGTTTGATTTGTGTTTTTGCTTTGACTCTCTTTGAAAAGTTGACCTGAATAATGGAACTCAAACATTTCAGGGTAGGTTGTTTTTCATTGGCTATGGTGTTTTACAGGGATCAGATAGTGTGGGGATTTTCCCTTGCACTGAGCAATTGACAGGAGAAAAAAAACGTGGAAACCTTCAGACTTTTGCATGTGGGACAGAAATAGAAACAGAGAGGAGGAGTCAATGTGCTTTGCCAGGAAGTGACCAGCAAAACGTGATTTGATTTGATTCCAGGTGTAGATCACTTTGTACTTTGAGACCAGCAGACTTGTCATCCAGGTCTACATCTGGCAGAGTTCTGTACCTGATGTCTGGCCACCTAAAAATCTGTTTACAAGTATATTTATAGAAAAGGTTTAAGTCAGAAGGCAGTTAATCACATACTTGGATTCAAACTACTTTGGTGAGATGCATTAATTACCAGTTGTCGAAAGAAAATGTTCTGAAGCTTAATTTAAAGCTGGCCTTTCTGGTCGAGAATGAAGTGAAATTGTCTTTAGTGTGAAAGTAGTCAGCAGTCTTTTAAAAGTTTCTCTTGGCCTGTCTTGGTTTTTGGTCTCTCCAAAGACCATTGCTGAAGCCCAGGTCTCCCCCCGACAGCTGCTGCCTTGGCTTTACCTCCAGAGAAGACCCACTGGATAGTTTTCCTTGTGAACCTCTGCAAGGCAGCACAAACAGCTGTTGAGTCTCTCTCCTTCCCTCATCCACTTGCTCCGGCTGACTTGCATGAGGTCTGGAGACCTTGGTGGAAAAATAGTTGCTTGTCTAATCAGCCCAGAGCTCTTGGAAGCCAGATTGCCAAGGAAGCAAATCCGGTGTGTTGTAATTGCTTACAGCAAGATGTTTGGTACTGGAGAGGCTGGCTTGCCTAAGGGCTGGGGTTTTTGTTCTTGGAAGGTGTATTTTATTCCTGTCCTGAGATTTAACGAGGCATCAGTACTGTCCTTTCCTCACTTTCCCTGCTTGTCAAGTGATGGGAATGCTGTATGGTGCTTAGAGGTTTCACTGCAGAGGGTCCCTTGTCTGCGTGTGCACCAGCTTTCTTTTCTGTGGATTTTTCTAATAATCAGCAGACCGAGGGATCAATGTGTCGCCTTCTTGAGCAAAACATCTGTGCCACCAAAATTAAATCAGTGATGTAGAGAGCGTGGCTGTGAGTGGTGAACTGGCCGCTGGCACTGAGCTGGCACAGTGTGTGCAGCTGCCTCCTCTCTGGGACACTGATATTCCATGCTCAGCTTCCATTCCCTTGTATGTCGTGACTTATCTCTGGCACACAAAATTAGAAGAGGGTAGAGAGCGGACATAACTTTCCAGTATGGAATTGCTGCCTATGGATGCAATAGTATTTCAAGTGACTCCAAGAGCATTTCCTAGGAAGCTTCACTAACCTTCCTGACCTGCTTTTTTAATTCATCAGAGGCACTGGAATCCAGCGGGAAGAGTAAATGGGTAACAGGAAGTAATTAATGCTCCCACCCGTTTCTTTAATTGCATCTCCAGCGATGGAATCATTGGCAGATTGACTAGATATGGCACCACCTGTCCACACTCCTCTTGCTGGGCGGTCCTGTGCCACCTGGAAAACTGATCTGTGGGATGGTGGGCTTGCTTTTCCACAACAAACTACACAGGCCAGAAAACAGTGTAACTTCCCTGAGGCTTCTGCCATCTCTGGAACGCTGTGAATCACTTTTCAGATCCCACTCTGATGCTTTGCACCTATCCTGCCAGCTCAGGGAAACAAAAGCATCTGCTCAGTGCAGGACAATGTGATAGGAAGCAGCAGCCCTGCCATGAATGCCAGCAAAGCTGACAGCTCTTCACAGGACAGGATGTGGTATCTTTGTGCTGATTCTGGCATGTTAAAACCTTTCCTTTGGTTTTTCTTAATCCAGGAAGCTTACAAAATGCCTTGTGTGTTTGGGGCTGAAAACGCTGCAAGTCGATTAAAGCTGGCCAAGGAAGCAATCCTTTACTTTCCAGCTCTGGAGCTCCCAAGGCTGGCAGGGGAACAGGGAGGAGTGTGGTAAACTTTCTGAGGATGAGGGATAATGGAGCTCCTTGACTGAGCCTTGCAGAAAGGGTTGTCGTAGAAACTTTGTCTCGTTTTTAAGTATGGAGATAATCCAGTATTCCTGGTGATGTTTTTTTAAACTCTGGAAACTTTGGCTCTTAAGCTGGTTCCTGAATTACTGGCAGCAATAGGTGGGAACCGTTACATTTTGGGGAGAGAAAAGCTGAGGTGAAGCATCTTTCATTTCAAACTGCCTAAGACGTGGATGCTTCATGAGACAGGCACTTACAGGGCTCTTCCAGGCAGTGGACAGGAGGTGCAGAGGGACTTTCACCTGTTGAGTTGACTGTTCTCAGCAATTCCCACTGTGGGAGCAGCTGAAACTTGCTGGAACTGGGCGGTGTTTGCCAGGATTTTGCACTGGTGATGATGTGGGGAAGTCCTGTCGCTGCACCCCTGGGAGGACAAGCACCTGATGGATGAGTTGGCCTTTCCTGAGTTACCTGTCTCCATAAATAGTTGTTATTTATGGAGGCACGTGCCAGCCACTCCTGCATTGGGAACAATGTCCTTGGGCAGGAAGCGGCTTCAGCCGCTGGTACTTTGTATTTGACTTCCCCAGCGGTGCAGAGTGCCTCAGTTTTTCCCACCCCCAGTTGAAAATGCAATCCCAGAGCACTGAGTCATTCTCCATGTGCTAAAATGTGTTTCAAGGAGGAAGGAAGAGAGCAGGGAATGCTGTGTCCTGTGTAGCCCACTCCACACTAGCTTGCCTCTGTCCCATCTAGAGAGGGGCTGCTCTTCCACCAACTGTAAAAGTCATTAGGAAACTGGGTACTGTGCTCTTGCTGGGCAGCTTTTCCTTTCTTTCCCTCCCCTTTTGGGGCATTTCTGGATGCTGCTCCATGTCCAAGATTTCCTGGTTTCTGAGAGTCTGTGAAATAGCATGGATTGTAGAACCACTGATGAATTAGGAAAGGAGTTCAGGGAGATTAGCCAGCCTTCCTAGAAAATGCTCTTGTAACCACTCCTGCTGAATATTTGCTCCTGCTTCATGGTCTTCCCTGCAGTGTTACCTAAACTCAGCTTCCTGGCCGTGGGGGAGTGGGAGAGGGTGGGAGAGTAAAGGCTCCTCTTCTGCCAGGTGGGTGCCACCCACCTGGCAGCCTTGCACTCTCCTTTCTGGGAATGCAGATTAATTTTCCATACAACGATGGCAGAAACAGGAGATGCTGCTGCTGACTGACACTCGGGGTGATGTTGGCTCTCTGCAGGCCAGGGAGTAGTGCTGAGAAGTCAGTGCAGCAGTGCTGGCAGAAAGGCATCTCAGTTGTCTTTCAAGTACTTGATGCTTTAGGAACCTGGGACACTTGACTCTTTAAAAAGACTCAAAATCATAGTCATGCAGTAAGTTTAATTTTATTTTATTTTTCCTCAGCCTCACCAGTGAAAGTGTTGCAAGTGTTTTCTAAGAAGAAAAATTACAGGTGTTTGATTTTTCAGGTGGCAATTCTTAGCTGCTTTTGGGAGGGGTTGGTACACAACCATACGTGGGCACGTGCTGGTCTAAGGTGAGACTAAATCTCACTTCATGGAGGATACTTTTGTCTGGGTAGTAGTTCTGCACTGGGTAATAAAAGTTGAGTATAAAAGAAGTTGGTATAAAAAGAAGTTGGTATAAAAGAAGTGGCAGATTTCTGGTTTGAAGCATATGGTAGAATGAGATATTGAGCCACGGGGTGGGGTCCATTTCTACCTAGTTTGCCTTGTCTATTAAAAGAACTAAGAACACCGAAACACTGTTAATTTCTGTTAAAAAAGATAACAGGATTTAGCAGGAGAGAGCATAGTAACTGAGGAACAGGTGAGCACACGGAGCAAAGAGCAGCTGACTCAGAGATGACAACTCATCTCTGAGGAGGTGGGAGTGACGACACTCACGGTGACGTGTCGGGTTTCTCAGTGGACATTTGCTCTGGCTGGACAGCCAGGAACTTGCATGTGATTTAAAACTATTTTTGTGCACTCACCTTTCCCTCTTGCCCGCAGGGGATCTCCAGCAGCACCTGCAGGCCATGTTCATCCTGCTCCGCCCAGAAGACAACATCAGACTGGTAGGTCGGCTTTGTGCTTATCTGCTGGGAACCAATGTAAAGGTTAAGTGCCACTTGACAAATACACCTGTGGAACTCATGAAAGCAGTGCTGTGTGTGTGTCTGAGTGGTATCGTCAGCAGGTCTGGGCAGTCTTTGCAACCACAAAGGTAGAAAAGCAGCTAATTATGAAAGGCCTGCTTATTTGGTTGTTCAGTGAGACAAATTGTATGGCTGGAAGATTGTCTTTGAACCGAGCACTGAGTACCTGTGCTCTTAAAGTCCTGTAACAATTGCCAGAGAAGATGGGTAAATTATCTTGGTACCCTGTTTAAATTATCTTGGTACCCTGTTAAAAGTAGATGACTTATGTCTGACCAGTGTGAGCACCTGCCTTCCTACAGTAGTTCAGTTGTGTACCTCACTCTTCTCTCCTCACTTGTGGCATCCTAAAAAGCCATGGCTTATCAGGAAGGAGCAGGTAGGACCCCCATGTAGCCATACACCTACACTGAACCTTGGCCTTCTGCTTTTTTGGGCTGTTGCCTCCTACAACTATGCAATCAGGTATTGCTGTTCATAGCATTGTCATGCAGTCCTGAAGAGCTCCAGAAGCCAAATGTGAGCAGTGAGGAATTTGTCTGGGACATGTTGAAGTGCTCTACAAGGCCAGGCATGACTGCAAGTGTATCTGCACCTCTCATCACTCAGTAGCCTGAAGTTTCTTCCCTGTGTTGTCTTGGTGCATCTTAGCAACGTCTGCCCAAAGAAGGACTGCCAGCACCACAAGTGTTATCTGGCACCTCTGGTTTGCTGAATCCTCCTGAGCCGTGCTGAGGATGGACTGGTTGTATGAGTATAGCTAGGAAACAGCCAAGATTGATATGGAATGCTTAAACTTCCAAAATGACCACCGAAAATAATTTGCCATAAGCAAACTAAAGGACCTGCTCCTAAACCTTTTCAGGCACACCTTGCTGTCACTAAAATTTCGCTGAAAGTGATGGGAATGGGGGTTTTTAATGCTTTTCAGAATCTGAGCTGGGGTGTTGGAAGCCATTGAACAAGGCATTGTTCAGCAATATCACTGGCTACATTGTGTGATTTGGGACAAATTAGCCTTAACAGCTGAATAAGGACTTTGTGGGCTGAGACATAAACCCTTTTGTTCTGAGCTACATTTGGAATGCTGAAATGTAGCGTGAGGTTAAGTTCGATAGTCTACTTGAATTTAATTGATTCTTGACGAACGAAGGGTGTGCAGAGCTGCAGTGAAGTCTCTCACAAGACAGTAGATACAAATGAGATTTGAAATACAAACAGTACTGAGAGAAATGCATTCTCTTCATTTCGTTGGCTGCTGTCATTCAGTGGGCAGCAGAGGAATCTAATCCTCTAAAAACCTACACTTAAAATTTGGAACAACCCTTGTCTCTGTTGGAGCTGTTGGCAGAGGTTTTTAGCCCTCCATGAGAGCAGGATTAGAGCAACGGTACCAGTGTAAAATCAGTAGAAAGGAGGAAAAGGAGTTAAGAGTACAAAGTGATTGAACATGTTTCTGTAGCTTAGCAGAGCTGGGGACTTGAAAGTTGGACATACTTTTTTGTCTTTAAATCAAGTATCTCAATGAGAAATGTCTTCCTGGATGAAACACTATCAGAGAGAATGAAAAAGATGAAAGGTCAGTATGAACTTCTTGGAATGTGCTGTTCATAAGGGCTGGTGAAATATCAAATCATACTTCTGATGAAACAAGAATGCAGCAGAAGATAAAGTTGGCTTGTGTTTAGGTGAGCCTGAAAGTAAAAAAATGTCTGGCCCTGAGAGCACTACAGGTGATGATTTGTTCATGAACAGACCACAGATAACCTTCCCAAATTGAGAAAGCTAGCTCTATATAGGTGAGCTGTTGAGAAAGAACTTCCCATCTCATCACAGTCCCTGAAGCCAGGCCATCCTCTCTAAAGTGACTGGGTTTTCAAATACCTTCATTTAAAAGGCATCAGAGCACTTGGTGTGCTCCTGCTGTCAGGTGAGCGTATGAACTAGCACTTAATGGCAAGGTTGGAGACTCATTTGTGATTTGTTGGGCATGTTGGAGCTCTAGTAGTAACCTTTGAGGTTGGCTGATTTACAGTGTCAAATTTGCGGGTTTATTATTCCAGTAAATGTAGCAAAACACATTATCTACCCCATTCGTGGTTCTTTGTGCTAAGGGTGTAAGTGTTGAGCCCAGAGAGCCACACTAAGCCATGCCCTGTTCCTCTTAAGTGGCCTCTGAAAATCCCACCCCACCGACGTGTAGCTACGTGACCTTTGCTCACTGTTTGTCTCGCCTTGTTCTAAAGGGTCTTGCATTAAGACTTCCCATTACTGCCAGCCAAATTGGTTTAGCAAAGTAAGTTAGATTATGTTAATCCTCTTGCTTATGGACTGTCCTCAAGAGAAGCAGAACAGAACTTGTGTGTGGATGCCCCGGACATGGAGCAGCTGCATCCGTCTGCTCCCATTTTAGGCAAGTCTGTGCTTCTTGTTGAGGTTTGGTTCCTAATGTAGATAATAAGTTTAACCACCAAGCCCTTGATGATTACTTGCTCTTCTAGGTGGAAGAGCACCTTTCTGTTTTCCCACAAGTGGTTAGTGGTAGAAACAGCTGTCTTTGGCAGAATTCACACCTTGAAGGACTGACCGCTTTGATCTTCCGTGTTTCCAAAGGAATCCCAGTGACTCAAGAAGCAAGAAGGAAAATAAGGCTGGTTTTAGCATGACTTATCCTAAGGAGATGGGGTGGGGCACAGTCTCTGTACAGAGCACGGCTGTCTGCTGGCATCAGCATTTGGGTAGTTTCTGTTGGTCTTTGGTCCCTTGGACAAGCCTAGAAGACTCCATCAACACCGTCTCCTGCCTGCACTTGCTGTTCTGTCCCATCACTAGAGCTGCTGCTCCCTACAATTCCACTGGGAAGCTTTCCCTGCTGAGCACGGGGCAAGGCTGGACTGGGACGGCTCCTTCTCGCCTGTGTTTGCTCTCTGCAGGCCCCGCTCAAAGTTCAAGGAGCAGTTTAACAGTGTGGTAAACACTGAGGCCAGGCAGGGTCTTGGGGTTGGATGGGGCTGTCCAAAGTTAAGGCTCAGTATACAGAATTAAGACACTTCCTTTCTAGGCGTGTCCTAATTTCTCTACTTGGGATCCTGTGACTAAAATAACTGTAAATTATTTTAGTCCAGAGTCCAGAAAGTGTTGCAAGTAAAAGCTGCCTGCTGCAGATGTTTATAGGCAGTGCAGGGCTCCCTTTCCCAGGCTCCTCGCTAACCAGCAGCCTGTCTGTAAGATTTACTGGAGTCACTTCAGTTCTTACTTCAGGAGCTTCAGTGTTGGTCTGACATTCACAGCTGAAGTTCCACAGCTGCTCTCTGAATGCTGTCAGTAGTATTTGATCTGGGGGAGTTTGGGCTGAACTGCAGTCCTGCTAGAGCTCTCTTTTGGCACTGGGATAAATGTGGTTGTGGCAGGAGCAATGAGCCACAATGACTTTCACCTTTTCTAGGCAATCTGAATCCAGTGGTGGATACAACTTAGTCATCTTTTCCTGCCGTGTGTAGGGCAGCAAAGTTGCATCTGCACTGGGGAAGTTGCCAGGAGAATTCAAAGGACCAGCAGGAAACCACATATGAATTAGGTCCTATGAATTAGATCTTGGTTGTCTGGCGGTGGTGGAAGGGTCTTGTTGGAGCTGTTGTAGCACACAGTAGTTCAAAGGAAAGTTCTAGTTCTTTGGGCAAAGTCCTCGGAGAGGTGAAGAGCATGTTCAACACCCTTCTGTCTTGCTCAAACGTGTGATGGTCCACGAAGCTCACAGGGCTGGGACCAGTCAGAGGGCTGTAGGTTGTTCAGAACCAACCCTAGTGGGACAGAGCAGGCCTGGAGCCAGGTGTGCAGAGGGCACCAGGAACATCCCAGCTGTTGAGGAAGGCACTGTGGAAGAGTGAGGCCCTTCTTACCCAGCTGAGGAGCGTGGGACATCCGTACTAGTCCAAACTGCATCACTGCTTCTGCACCTGTCACTGAGCATGAAAAAGTGGCTTGTGAAGGTAATAATGTGTGTTTTGCTGAGTGCACTGCTGATCTCTCCCCTTCTTTTCTTCAGGCTGTAAGACTGGAAAGTACCTACCAGAACCGCACTAGATACATGGTGGTGGTGTCCACCAATGGCAGACAAGACACCGAAGAGAGCATTGTCCTAGGGATGGATTTCTCTTCCAATGACAGGTACTCGGAGGATCCAAGGGGGGGAAGTCCTTGTGTTCACCCACACATCGAGTTAAGTGCAGAAATCACTGTCTGGTGTCCGTGTTTTCTGGGGATAGACTGCTTCAGATTTTCCAGTCTAATACCTTTTTTGAGATCCAGAATTCCCTTTTTATTTTTTGAAAGGAGATGGCAAATGGGAAGGCAACAGTGCAGGTCAGCATTTTGTTGATTCCTCTGAGCCTCAGGCTTGTGTGAGGGTGTTCAGTGCCCTTAAATGCCTCTTAGGTCTTTTAAGTCCTGCATCTGCACACCAGGGACAGGGACAATTTGCATGCAAAGAAAGAAAAAGCTGCAGTTAGAGAAGCTGTCAGGGTTCAGGAGAGCAGGTAATAAGACAATGAGTGTGAGGCAGCCCCTTGCCAAGGTCAGGGCAAAAAAGGCCTGATGGGAATGTCAGGGTTGGAGATGGCAGATCTCGCACAGTGTGTGCTCTCCCCAGACAGCAGTGTGTCACCAGGGTTTAGTGCTTCTGCTTCATTCATTTAAATTCCTGCTGACCTTTCCACAAGGCTGCAGAATGTGGCTGGGAAGCAGCTTTTGCTGCTGGAGGGCCTGTGAGCCAGGAGGCAGCACCCCTGCAGCTTCAGGGGCAGAAGCTTCACATTTAGAAGGGGACATTGGGCACTTCGAAGAGGGCTTGGAAGCACATGAGCTCTAAGTAAATCTTGGCCTACATGGGGAGAAAATCACCTGGATATTTAACCTATTTTGGAAGCTTTCGTACTCATGCTTACTTCTAGCACAGCTGTTCCAGGAATGAGTCTTGACAGTAGTTGGAATAAATTACTTTAGTAGTTAGCGGGGTCACTAGAAAACATTTTTGAACTATTTGGCTAAGAAATTGCCTCCTAAACAGCGTGCTGGTCACAGCAGCCACCATGCTTTGTCTCAGGTGTGGCTTAGTTTGGACGCTTGGCTTGGGTGATTGCTGCTAAAACAGGGGGCCAGCTTGATGCTGCCCCTGGCTCCTGTCTCCCTGCACGGGTGTGCACAGCTGTGGCTCAGGGATGCTCTTGCTGTGGGTAAGAATAACTTGTCCTTGCACAGGTTGCTGTGAGCTTGGAGCAGCTCACTGTTGGCTGTGATGTAGCAGCACAGCCACCTTTGATAACTGAGAGCTCGCTGGTATTCAGCCTCTAATAACATACCGGGGTCGTTTCAGCTTTCTGCTGGAGTTACTGAGGTTCTGGATGGTCACTCTGATACGCCCTCCCCGAGCCCACTCGGTATTTATAACCCAGTGTAGACTTGTTGCTATGGTCTCTGATAAGCGCTCGCTGCACAGTATCACTAAAAATACCCCGGCCACCTTGGGAAGCCTTTTAAAAACACATCTTTCCATGAGCTCATCCCATGTTGTCAACAGAAATAGCTGCGTGCCGCAGTGTCTCCTTGTGCGGGGCACCAGGCGCTCCGAGGCGTGTGCATGGCCAGGGCTCCGTGTCTGCTGACCCTCCAAAGCCTGGTCTCACCCTCTTCCCCCACTTCTCATGAGCTGGAGACTGGCGGGGGCGTTGGAGCTGGTGGAAATTTGAGAGCACCTAGTGCAAAGCATAGGAGCAGGAGGCGGTTGAATTCAGTTCTCCTTCAAGATGCTGCTTTGATTATGGAGCGATTTTTGCAGCTTTATGAGATTCAGAGGAGCGGCAGGCACTGATCTCTTCTCTGCGGGGAACAGTGACAGGACCCAAGGGAATGGTCTGAAGTTGTGTCAGGGGAGGTTTAAGTTGGATATTAGTAAAAGTTTCTTCCCCCGGAGGGTGGTTGGGCACTGACCAGGCTCCCCAGGGCAGTGGTCACAGCACCAAGGCTGCCAGAGCTCAAGAAGCATTTGGATGATACTCTCAGGCCCATGGTGTGACTCTTGGGGATAGTCTTGTGCAGGGTTAAGAGTTGGACTCGATCATCCTTCTGGGTCCCTTCCAACTTGGTGTATTCTGTGATTCTGTAACCTGGTGCAGGTTGTGTTGGGTTCCCCTGCCTTTTTTCCGTCACTTGATTTCTACTTTTAACTTGGCTTTTTGCTCAGCCCTACAGAAAGCAGGTGACTGTGAGGGCAAAGAGGGCAAAGCAGCTGAGAGAGGAGTGGGATTGCCAAGAAGTGTCTGTCTGGGCTGGCTGTTGGACTCATTCTCGAGATGTGGGAGGGTGAAGAAGGGTCAGGAGTCACCACAGGTGATAGGCAGTGATAGGCAGTGATTGCTAACCTGCCGTGCTGCCAGTCACCCTGTGATTGCACTGCACTGCTCCCAGTTGCCAGCAGCTGTGGCTGGGGAACAAACAGGAAAGCAAAGCTGGGGATTGCAAAATCAGAGCTAGAACCAAACCACTTGAGCCTGAGAGGGACTAATCTGTAAAGAAAGCCTCAAGCTGACCAAAGACTGCAAGCCCCCTCTGACCTTCTGCACAGAGCTCAATGCTCCTGGATCCTGTTTGCTCTTCCTCTGGGTGTGTGTTAACCCTTTAAGCTTGTCTAAAGGATACTGCTGTACCCTGAATCTGATCAGTGATCCTTGTCAGACCCCTGTAGAACAACACTGGCATTGTTTTTCCCTGAAGCAACAGTGAGATTTTTCCTTTTCATTCCTAATGAGTACAAAAATACACAACTATTGCCATGAAATTAGAATAACAGCATGGTGCCACAGTAAATAGACTGACCTGCTCTTTCTTACTGCAGTAGCACTTGTACGATGGGCTTGGTGCTGCCACTGTGGAGTGACACCTTGATCCACCTGGACGGGGATGGGTGAGTGTCTTTTGTATGTTGTAGGTCGATAGCAGAGGGTCAGTCTCTGTGTGTGAGCTTGCAGCGTGATGTATGGGGAAGGATTCCAGTGATTGCAGACCCCTTACAGGTCCAGCAGACCTCTTCTGTTGACCTGTATAGGGTGAGTAGGCTCAAAAGCCCTAAATCACAGTGGTTGTGGCAGGGAACACCAATAATTGACTTATCTGTGAATAAACATGCACTGAGACCGTGGCTTATGTGTGTGTTTAAGCTGGAGTAAAGGAGCTTTTACTGGCGAGTGGGTGTGTAGTGAAAGCTCCTTAAAGGGATCCTATTATGTGTTCCCCCATCACACTTGCAGCAGGCAGCGCTCAGCAGAACATAAAACAAGAATGATGTTTCTCTGCCAAATAGACACCTGACTTGCAGACTCCTGTTTGTGCCAGTTACACAGGCTGTCCAGTGCAGTGCGTGGAATGACTTTTCTTTCCTTGGTAGCTGCCCCAGGATCACTTTAGCTGAGACTCTGTTGCTCCCAGCTGTGGCACTGAATTTGTGTTGCCAAGGTAAACAGCACAGCCCAGCACTGTCCCACTGTCTTAGTTTCGTTCCCAAACAGCAGCTGCTTAAAAAAGTTATCTTAGAGCTTTTAGCATGCTATTTTGATCTGTTTGCTAGCTGAACTCAGCAGTGTATGCATAGGGCTAGACCTTTGCTGTTCTAATGTGCTGCAGACTATAAGTTATTAACTAAAAAGTGACTTTTGGGATGCATTTTTACTGTGCCTTTTTTTCTTCTCACCAGAGGGTTCAGCGTATCAACAGATAACAGGGTGCACATATTCAAGCCCGTGTCTGTACAAGCAATGTGGTAAGTACTTACTATCAGCTGTCCCAGTGATCCTTTTTCCAGGTGTTTTGGCTGCTTGAGCTTTTAAAAAGCAGGTGCTGCTTTACGGTACTGGTGTCTTGAAACCTACTCCAGCAGCCAGAATTTTCCTTCAGGGACAAGGAAGGAAGTTTGATACCAAAAGAAAAAAACCCTGTGTGAGTGCTGCTCTACAGCAGCTTTGTCTCAGCTGGGGGCAGGAAGGAATAGGGCAATTTTCCTTGCAGAGGGCTGCTGCTTTGAGTCTCCCCAAAGTAAAATTGCTTTGAGTCTATGTTTTGAAATATTTTGAGACATGTTCATTGTGATAGCGAGAAGGACAGAGAAGCTGCCTGCATTTCTCTTCCCTTTTAGGGTGGTTCGTGTAGTGGTCATGTAAGTATTTCTGGCTTGAGCTTCTTTGCATTGCAGAAATACATTGCCTGTCAGGGTGTCATGCTACTGTCACCCCAGTGATTTTGACCTGGATCCTTCTGATCACAGTCAAAGATTTAAAATAAGCTAAAAATAGGAGAGGGGGATTTGTTTCCCAGCAGCAGCTGAAGAAACTTCTGACATCCCTCATGCAGTGAGAGAGAGCAGACACTTAAACACCTCGGTACAGTCCTAAGCCCTTGGTTGTCCAGCTCTGAGTCCTGGGTGTCCCTGCCCTGCACGCAGGGGAGCTGGTGGCACAGCAGGAGCTGTCAGCACCCTGTCTTGGACACAAACTCTGTGCGTCTTATTTAGGGCTTGGGTAGATGCAGCACGTTTTGGAGCCAGAGACACGAGTGCCTCTGCCCTCTGAATTGTGGGCACCTTCACCACTATCCAGGCTTGCCTTGGCATACGCCAGTTAAGACATGCAAGCTCTGGCAGCGTGTAGCTATCCACACTCCTGCAGAACAGCCTCCTGCTCGGTGCCAGGGCTCTTGCACTGGGGTTTGTACCAACTGATGGAACACGAGCATCATCGTGGATTTGGCGGCTGCTTTGTGCTCAGTACCAGCCTGAGGAAGAAATTACAAACCTGCAGGTGTTGTTCCCTTCCCAGGTCTGCCCTGCAGAGTTTACATAAGGCTTGTGAAGTGGCACGGAGCAACAATTACTATCCAGGGAGCCTCTTCCTCACGTGGGTCAGTTACTATGAGAGCCATATCAACTCGGACCAGTCGTCGGTCAACGAGTGGAATGCCATGCAAGATGTCCAGTCCCACCGGCCCGACTCGCCTGCCCTCTTCACAGACGTGTGAGTTGGTTTGGCTCTGCTGAGACAAAGTGTTTGACTGTCAAGCTCTCCAAATGAGGACACAGTTTCCACAAGAGATTGCTCTTAATTAGGTGTTAATAAGGAGAGGTTTCCTGTTCCAGAGGTAATAAGCAGACTCATGGTTTGGTAAACCCCAGCACTGAAAGTTTAGCCCTCCTGGGGCTCCCTTGCTTCTTCTTCAGCCTCTGTTTTCAGTTTAGTTGTTTACTTTGGGCTTTAGGCTTCCAGACCTTTGTTTCTGCAGCATAAATCCTGTGTTCCTAGTGAGAGAGGTGTGTGTACCTAGGCCTTCCTCTCTGCTGGATTTGTCTTCTGATATCCAGGCCTGGAAGGAACCGGTTTCTCTTGACTTTGCTCATGTTTAGACTAACATGGTCTTTTTATCTTTACTCGGGTAATTTTGCTGTAATGTGAAGTGTTTGTGTATTAACTTCTGAGCCTGTGAGCTCAAAAACATCCTCATGGCATCCATCTGGTACACCTAAGGATGGGGATAAAGAGCAATGCAGTTTTTTGTGATTCTGAGGAGCTCAGAAAGTGTGGAACAGGACAGTGTATAGGTCCCAAGATGCCTCCAGCTATATGCTTGGATATCTGCTGATAGGATGGTCCAAACAGTGACTGAGTTAGACGGGTAGGCAATTTGGAAAGGCAAAATTTGTAGACATTCAAGGTTTACCACCCGTGTCATTAGTCATTCCTGATGGTACTGATACCATATAACCTCAAAAGTAGTCGGTGTCCAGATGTTATGCCAAGTGTGAAGGGCTTAAGTTGCCCAGTTTGTAGAAGAAATGACTTCACTGGCCCCAGCTGCTTTCCCAGCATAATTGTGCCTTTGGTTGATTTATGCTCCCAGATATTTCCTGTTGCTGGAGTTCAGTGAGTGAATAATGATGCTAAGCAGTTGTTCAGCTGTGAACAAGTCTTCACACTTGATTGTTTTTTAATGTGCAAGGAGGGTGGCTGAAAAGCTTTGGCAGGCTGTCAGATTAATATTTTCTTGTAGCTTTTCATATATAAATTTTATCTAACCCACCCTTTCCCTGGTGGCAGCAGTTGAATGATTTCCTGGGGACACTTAAACAGCATTCTGTTAATTGAGTCCTGAAATAATGAGTGAGGTTAAAAGGACCAGGAACTTTGGTTTTTATTTGTGAGCCACCAGTTGAACACTTCTGTAGTGCCCGTGCCATCTTCAGCCTGGCAGCCTTCCGGAGAAAGGGAAAGGTGGTGCAAGATGTCACTGCTGGGTCTCTTGTAGAGATGCTGGGTGAGCCAGCTCTGTGGTGCTGCTCTGCTGCAGCTTCCCCTGGTGTTAGTCAGGCTATTTTTGCAGCTGGTGATAAGGCCCTGGCAGCAGGGGCGGGAGGAATGCAGAGGCTTAGCTGCCCTCGTCTCTCCATGTAAGGAGTTTTGGAGCTGTTACCTTTCCAAGAAAGGTAGGGAGAGGCTTAGATATTGCTCCAGAGGGTATAATGCAGCCTTCCCAATTTAAATTTTACCAAATACCAGAGGTTCTCTGGATGACTACAATGGATTAGGGGCATTCAGTTGGTGTCTTTCATACACAACTGGGAATCTAAACCGGGTTTTACAGTCACCTGAATTCCCTGCAGCTGAGAACATGGTGGGGGGAAGTAGAGTGGGAATCTGAGACTCCACAGAGCATCCAGTCTGTACAATACCTATTTTATAAGTGCCATGAGTCCAGTTTGTTTCCCCTCACAGTGACTCTGTTGCTTCCTTCTGATTAGCCCAACTGAGCGGGAACGCACGGAACGGCTAATTAAGACCAAGTTAAGGGAAATCATGATGCAGAAGGATTTGGAGAACATCACATCAAAAGAGGTGAGTGGTGAGGGAGCAGCACTGGAAGCGCTGTTGTGCAAACTAGAGAGCTCTGTACTTCATGCCACAGGGAAAGGTCAGAACAAAAGCTTCACGTGGCTCCCTTGTGTCCCTCCTCCCCATGCAGATACGCACCGAGCTGGAGATGCAGATGGTGTGTAACCTGCGGGAGTTCAAAGAGTTCATCGACAATGAAATGATAGTGATCCTCGGGCAGATGGACAGCCCCACACAGATATTTGATCATGTCTTTTTGGTAAGTCTAACAGTGAATTCAACACTCCTAACACTTCTCTCTGTGTCTTGGTTGACACAGGGGCCTCTGGAGGAAGTTAAAGGACTTTTGAAGGAGAGATGGTAGATCCTGGGGTCACATTGTCGTAAACAAGACACTAGTGCTGCTGAACAAGAGCAGCCTGGCTTTTCAGCTGTACTAAACTTTGCCAAGCTGTAGACCCTGTCACTAGAGGATGGAAGGGAAAAAATCTTAATTCTAACTTTTTCAGGGCTGTTTCCATTGGTATAAGGCCAGTTGTGTGGCTTTAACTCTCCAGGGTACCCACACCCCTGGTTCTTGCATTATATGTGTGTGACATTCAGGTGGAATGATGCTCTTGTAACACGGAAAACTCTTGAGTTTGTGTGATCCAGGGAAGAACAGAGGAGCCTAACAAAGAATCCTGGAGATAAGTCACTTAAGGAAACGTAAACATTTTGCTGTTTAATGTTTTGCTTGCCTAGTTGCCTTTCATTGCTGCTGGGGCCTGTCTAATCGCTGCAGCTCCTTCTGGTGAGTCAGCGCTCCGCTGGATTTCCCAGCCCCGGAGCGACGGACGCGGGTTTGGTTGGGCTGTCTAGCCTATGAGGTTGGCTCAGCTTTACACAAAGCCATTCCTCTTGGACCAGCTGGTCTTTCCAAGTGGAGAGGGCCTCTCCCAGTCTCCAGCTCAGAAGGGATGGTGTGTGTTAACGTGAGCACTCCCAGGATATCACGCTGGGGTAGAGCCAGAAAACTTTAAGTACCTACGATGTAATGGATTTTTATTTTTTGCAGACTATGTGTTATAAGGAGAGAGAGACCTGTTACAGGCTTATGGTGCTGTTCAAAAGCTGTACAGGCAGTTTGGTCCCTTGCAGGGCTTGGAGTCTTGGCTCTGAGTGCATTTAATGGGAAGAAGACCTTAAAACAAGGCTTGGAGGCAGCACCAAGGAGAAGAGCTGTGGCTAATGTGTGGAACAGAAGTATTTGCAAAGCAGCTGCTGCAGTGAGGAACAGTGCTGCTGGGGCTGGGCACCACCTTCACTCAGGAGCGTGTCTGTTGCCTGTGAGGGCTCTGGAAGGCAAGGAGCTGTTCCTTTCCAAGTGGAGGCAAGAGCCCTGTGGGATCCCACTTTGGGAGTGCTGAAACAACTAAGCAGGAAATGAGAGACCTGATGATGTTGGTAATTGTGGATCAAAGGACAGGAGAAAAGGCTTTCACCCCTAAAGCACTGTTCTCCTTACCTGTGGAAACTGGTGGTTCCCAGGCCTGAATTAAATTATTCTTGCTAGTCTAGAAAGAGACAACAAGAAGTCTGGGGGGCTTGGGTAAATATGATCAAAATATGTTGGCAGATAGCAAGAACCCATATAGTCCTTCTTCAGATCAAGCACAGCTCTGGACTGTGCTGGGATTGACCTGATCTGTGGCTGAAGGCAATGGATTCTGTTGAAATCTGGGCTACCATGGCATGTAATATTTGCCCCTTTGTTCTGCTCAAATCTATGCTGAACCCTTGAATGGTGTCTTCATTACGATGATTTCTCTTAGGAAGTAGTTCAGTTTTGGAAGAACCAGTTGCTTTTTGTTTGCTGTATTCCTTAAATGCCAAGAAAAAGCCATAGACTTGTCCCCCGTAGCTACCAGAACAGTACCATGGCCCTTTCCTGTGTGTGTTCTCCTGAACAGACTGTGAGTGCTTGGAATTGCCTGCAAGGGCTGCCCGGGGTGTGAGTGTGTGTCTGTGAGTCAGAGCTCTTGGAGCCTCCCCCATCTCAGACTTGGGGTGCCTGTGCAGACTTTCTGGGCAAGCAGCAACTCATCCTTTGGGTGGACACTGCTGCTGCTGCAGGCCTGGGACGTTCTCGCTCTCAGGCTGATGGTGGGTGTGCTCCAAGGGTCTGGCTGTGCCTCTCCTGGCCCTGGGGCAATGTGGAAGCCTGTGCCGTGGGAGCAACCATGAGCAGGACTGTTCTGCACTGATGGTATTGTTGCCTGGATCCCTGTTGCTTGCTCTATCTGAACCATTTTTCCATTTGGGAGCCATTTTAAAGCTGGGAAAGCAGATGCTTGCGCACCTTAAATTTTGAAGGAAGAGTGGTTTTGTCCTCAGTCAGGTTTGTGTTTGAGCAGGAAGCAAGCAACTTGGAGGCCCTGTGTGTGCTGCAGAGAAGAGGGGTTAGCTAGCCAGGGTTAAATGTGTTCATTTCTCTGCTCGCACAGCCTTTGAAGAGGTGTAACCCAAGTGAGCTTATGGTGTTGCTGCCTTTGATGTGCGAGATGGGTGTTTCACGTATAAAGAGCACCTGGATTGCTTTTAAATGCAGGCAGTTTCTCTTCTGTGGGGCAGAGCTGGCAGCAGCCTCCAGGGAAAGGGTGGAGTGTGTCTTGTCTTGCCGAGGTTGATTAGTCAGCAGTTTGCAGGAAGTGCCAGCAAATGGTGCTGGGCTCCTGCTTTGCAGAGCTGCTTCTTGTTTCAGAAGAGGTCTGGTTAATGGGGCGAGGGAAGGTGCTGAACATCAGCCCTGTTACCGCTCTTCTGTGTACCCCTGTACTCAAAACACGCCCAGTTATCCAACACTTGGCTGGCCAGCTTCCTCCTCCAGTTCAGTGGTGGCAATCTCTCCCTCCACCAGTTGCCTGGCCATGCCTTCCTGCTGCCTGATGTATCCCTTTGCATCTTCTCCCTGCAGGGCTCAGAGTGGAACGCCTCCAATTTGGAAGACTTGCAGAACAGAGGGTAAGTAGCTTCAGGCCATCAGCTTAAAAGCAAGAGCCTGGCCTTAACACTTGTCTAAGCAACAAGCTCTGTTCCATACCTGCTGTGTGTAACCTCAGTCTTACTGAGGGGTTTACAGATCCAAACAGGCTCTTGCTTCCTGCAGGCTCCATGTCCCACAAACAGGCACCCTTAAAGTACAAAAACCTTCCTCCCTGACCTTGACTAACGTCCCCAAGGAGAACAAAGGAAGGCAGCAATCTCACAGCTATAAGTAGTAAAAAGCTACAATTACTGAACACAGTTGGCTCCGTGCCCTCGGCCCCAGCCCGTTGTTCTGGACTGATTACTGAGGTGCTTCGGAGTCTGGACCTCTGGACTGCGGCAGGAAGGAAAATATGGAAAAGAGCATTCCTTGCTTTGAGTGGGGCCCAGTGGGAAGTAAAGTCCTGTAGCTCTCAAGCTGAGCACTGATGGGTTCCTCTGGCTCCTGCCCATTCTGCCTTTCAAGCTTAAGCTTAGAGTGTCCTTCTCTAGGGCCAGGTGGAACTAAGCACTAAGATTTCACAATTAAACCGTTATTTATGGGTTTGGCTTATTTGTGCCAATCCAGTGGAAAAAAGTAATCGTGCTGCTGAGTTGATAACATACTTCTGTACCACAGAAATTCAGCCTGGCAAAAGTGACTCCTCTTCTTGAGCTCAGGGTCTGCTGCTGTTTCCTTGAGTCCAGCTGGTCCTACTTGGCTGCCAGCAATCTCATACCTGCTTGGGAAAAAGGGATGTCACTCCCTTGCAAGTGCCCTTGTTCTGTCTGATATCCCAGCATGAGTGCATTTCATAAGCATCTTACGAGTAACCCTCAGGGCTCAAAATACTGAATGTAGTATACATAAATACCATGTGCTTTCTCAAGCAGTTTCCTTTCCAGAAAATTTAAGGATAAGAAATAAATCTTCCCCAAGGGCTTATTGTCTGTTACATCTCTCTGTAGTTATTTTATGCATTTGTTTAGCTGTGGTGTTACTTAAGAGCTTCTGTCTTCCATCTTCCTGTGTTTTTGATGGAGCAGAAGGAGAGATTCACAAAGGGGTTTTAAGAAAATGTGATTGAGGAGTCTGTGCTGGGGCTCCTGTGACACAGGTGTTGCTGACATGAAGAATAGAGGTGGTGGGCAGTGTTACCTGACATAGTGCAGAGGAAGTTTCTGTCCAGCATGGACGGCAACCCTGTTATCAGGCTCTAAACTGCTCAGCAAAACCTTTTGTCTGTGTTAGTTGCTGCTTCTTTACATTAATTCCTGGTTTCCCAGGAAGCTTGTTCAAGACTGCTTTCAAATGGACCTTGCAAAGCCAGGCAGGGCAGTGGAGCAGTGTGACATCTCTCTGAACTTGCTGTGTTTCTCTCTCTCTGTTTCCATGCAGGGTGAGGTATATTTTGAATGTGACTCGAGAGATAGACAACTTCTTCCCTGGGCTCTTTGAATACCACAATATTCGGGTTTATGATGAAGAAGCAACAGATCTTCTGGCTTATTGGAATGACACCTACAAGTTCATCTCCAAGGCAAAGTAAGTCTTTTCCAGACAGAACCCACACATTTAGGAGATGTATACTAAGCATTTTGTATTTTCCTGCCAATTTTCATAACTACTTTTCCTTCTTGCCTACCTAGAATCAAAACATTTTCATTTTGTAGTTTTCTGTCTCCTAGCTGGGTGAGGGTTAAGGCAATGTTGGTCTCGTTCAGCCACTTGACAAACCTAATAATATGCTGTCAGAAGTGTGCAGTAGAAGAACATGTCTCTGCTAGAGGCTTCCTTGAACTGCTCAGTAGCTTCCAGGGATGTGTTTCTAAACTGTGACACCATGTTTGTGGTATAGGTGCTCTTTTTATTTGAAATAATTAGAGGCCTTCATAAATCTATGATTGTCCACTTGGCAATAACAGCTTCAGAAGAGCTGTTGTAAAAAAAATCTGTTAAGAATATTAATAAGACCTTGTTCTTCACTGTCTCTGCGGGTCTTGCTCTAGTTTGTAAACTGGATTATCAGATCACATCCCAGACTTCGTCTGTGGCCAGAGAGTTGAAAATGCATTTGATAATGCTCTGACAAAGAAGTTGCTGTTTTCTTAAGCTTCTCAGAAGCCACGTTTTTATGTTTAATGATCCTCTTTTTGTCTTTCTTCTGCTTCAGGAAAAATGGTTCTAAGTGCCTGGTGCACTGCAAGATGGGAGTGAGCCGCTCAGCATCCACGGTGATCGCCTATGCCATGAAGGAATACGGCTGGAACCTGGACAGGGCGTACGACTACGTGAAGGAACGACGCACCGTCACCAAGCCCAACCCCAGCTTCATGCGGCAGCTGGAGGAATACCAAGGGATCCTGCTGGCCAGGTGAGTGGAAGGAGTGATCCTGATTATCCGCGTTAAGGCATAACGCTTAAATGGCTGACTCCGTTATTTTAATTGGAGATTCCATCGCGGTGTTGTGTAAGCTCGGAATCGTCTTGGGAATTACAGTGTTCTGTTTTCATGGGTTGTCTCAGCCGAGCCTGGGAAAACAGGTGTAATAAAGAGCTTTTAGGAGGCTCTCTGACTTCTGGGATGTCAGTTTTTTTGGAGAGTAGCATCCTATGAAGTGCCATCCGAGTGCAGCATTCAGAGCTGTGCAGACTCCAGCAGAGATAAATGATGTCCCTATTGCTTGTAACATCACTTGGCAGGGAACTCGCTTTGTCTCCGTCGCAGCCTCGCAGTTCCCTGTTGAACATGCCCCTCCTCAGCAGCTGGTCTGGTTTTATTTAGATCCCTTCGGTAAGTGTTGGTGTGAGGGGAGGGGACAGGATGTTCTGTGCATTGCAACAGTGGTGTTTATTCCTGCCTGGAGTCCTGAGGCTGGTCTGGAGCTGGGCCTGGGTATGGGCAAGTGTGTTGTAATCCCAAGCCTATCACCTGACTAGCAAAAAGACATAAATACTGCATGTTTCTAAGCTGTGTTAAGCAATGTCTTCACGTGATCAGCTGGAAGGAGGTAGTGATACTCTGTTCTGCCAGATTACGGTGTTTTGTTTGGGATCCTGGTGTGCTTTTCCAGGGAGCAGATCTGCAGCAAGCAGAGTTACCCAAGCTGAGCCTCTTGCCACAGGGGGTGGCTCTTGGCAGGTTTGGACCAAAGTAAATAATAAATGTTGAAGCTTCAGGGTGCTGTTGGAAGGTGCCTGCTTATTCTAGAACCATTTAGATCGGAAAAGAGCTTTAAGATCATGGAGTCCAACCAATACCCTACCACTGCCAAGCCCACCACTAAACCCTGTCCTCGAGTACCACATCTACATGTCTTATATGCTGTTCTTTACAGCAGCTCGGGCACTCAGGTGCTCCCTTTAGGGCATGCTTCTCACCTCTGTCCCCTGCTTGGTTTTGTCCCTTCATGTCTGTTCTACCCACTTACAAATACCTCTTTTCACTTTCATTCTCATGACATATTCTTCCTTCTTTGCTCTCCACCTGCTCCCAGCAATCCAACTGTCTTTTCTGCTGAGACAGGTTTGGATTCTCAATTTTTACATCAAACCTTTGGTGTAATCTCCCCCATCACTGAAGTGTGCTTCCTCTTTCCCTCTCTGCACAGATTAGCCACCTGAGAGCTCCTCCCAGCTTATTCCCTGACCAGGTGCATCCACAGGATCTTCATTCCCCACCTCTTCCTGTGCCCGTCTTCCTCTCCCCCTGCTCCTCAAACACTGACTGCAATAATGACCCTCTTTCTCTCTAAAAGCAGCCAAGTATTATCAAGTGTCAGGATAGATGACAGTGGAATAGATATTTTTAAAAATCATGCTTTTCTGGACTGAAACCCTTTGAGACAGACACTACACCTCCTTTGGTGCCTTGTGACACCAAACATGCTGCTGGCACCAGTCACTAAAGGTCAGTGCTAACTCTGAGCTAGGGATGACCTGACCAGCACTGAGCAGACTTGGAAATTAGATCTCACTGGGATGGACTGGATGGAGAAAAAGAACCTTTTTAGGTGTGAAAAACACACCAATAACAGGTTGGTGAACACCTGTGAGGAGCCCTGGGCTGGGAGCAGGTGGTGTCTCATATGCATGACCTGAGATTGGCTCAGTTGGTTAGAGCCTGGTGCTAATAGTGCCAGGGTTGTAGCTTCAATCCCTGGAGGGGCCATTCACTGAAGAGATGGACTTGAAGATCCTTGTGGGCCCCTTCCAAGTCAGAATGTTCTGTGATCTTTAAAGATCTCAACCCTGCTGGGGTTGGTTTAGGTAATCTGCCAGTCTGGCACACCTGCAAAGCCACACTGTTACAAACATTTTGATTAAGGATTATTGTTTTCCCTGTTTTCTAGTATTTTTCAGAGGTAAATCTTTCTTGCTGCCATCATTTATATGGTGTGTGGCTCCCCTCCCACTGAAGCACACCACTGCTCCTGACCTACTCGGCAGGTCCCTGTACAATGGCACAAACAGGATTACTTGTGAGGCTTTAAAAAATGCAAGAGCAGTGCATTACATCTGTGTAGGATGAAAAAGCTGCAGTAAATGAAGCTTCGCTGAAGCAAGGAATGGCCCCTACGTGCTGCAGGAATGGTCCCTCTTTATTTCCTCTCTCAGCTCCAAACTGTGTTTTTTTTTTCATCTTTCTTCTCTGTGTTATTTATCTTTGCCCTCTGGCCTCTGGCTACCTTGTTTATTGCTGTGGTATTCCAGGACAGGTAAAAAAAACCCAAACAAACAAAAAACAACAAAAAAAAAAAACCACAACAGATTGACCCTCATGTGACTGCTCCGATTTCAGGGGGAAGGTATGTGAGGGCAGCCATGTGCTCGCACTATCTGGTTACGGTTTTGTGTTGGGGTTACAGCAACTGGGATATGTTTTCCAGCTGTAAAATGAAAACCCCCTGCCTGCTTTTAGTCACAACAACAAGCATGTTTTGCTCTTTGGGACTGTCATACTTCCTGGGGTTAGTTAAACTGTCCCCTCCCTCTGTTGATAAACACAGCAAGGCTGAGCCAAGCCTGTTTCTGTTATTAGTTATGGATAAGTTACAGGAAAACAGTGTCTGTGATCTCCCGTGCCTTGTGCAGCTTGTGAATCAACAGCAGTTTTATATCTGAGCCTGGAGAGCTGGTGGGAGGTGTGGGGGGCTCCTGGTCTAAAGCTGGTGTGGGCACAAGCACCAGGAATGTTGCCCAGGAAAGTCAAGAGGTGGCTGTGGCCTCTAGGAAGGGACGTGGGCTCCTGGTCTCTGACCCTGCTTCAGGCACCTCCTGCACATTGTAAGACTGGAGGAAGTGTGAGGTTGGAAGCTAACACAGCACACCTCTCCCAGTGGTGCTTGACATCTCTTTTGATTCTCAGATTGGTGCCAGGCAAGTTTGGTTTGCTCACACACAAGGGCGCTTTTGACTTCTGAAATCAGATGTGCTACAGGGAGCTGGGTTTGAGCACTGAAGGGCCCTGTAAAAACATCAGCAGCTCCTGGGGTTATATCAGCAGAAATCTTTGACACCCCATACAGAGCCCCAGCAAGAACCTGCCTCAGGGAGAAGCCTGTTCCTGCTGCCAGTGTCAAACTGTGCTCCAAAACCCAACAGAGAGCTCGTGCAACCCAGAGCAGTGTATTCGGCCTCTGATCTTGACCCTCTTCTCCTCTGAAAGGACCTGATTCTGCCCTGTGTCACACGTGAAGGTTGTCACTGATTATGGGGTTGGAAAGCTAAATCTGCAATGGATTATTCTCCTTAGCTGTTGGGCACCCACAACTACACTGACACATTTTAATTAGCTCAATAGCATCTGTTAATTAACTTACTGCAGCCAGCGGATGTGTCTGGGAGCGCCTGCTCACGCCAGTAAGGTACTGAGGGGTTTTGCAAGGTCTCCTGCAGATCCAAGGAGGTTTCTGTGGTTTCTGTGTTCCTCCTAGGGGCAGTGGGCGGAAGCACATCCCTGTGGCTGTGGCCACTCGGCAAACCCTGGTAGACTGGGGTAGCTCTGGGGTTTCAGGGCGAGAAGTTACCTCCGGGGTTCTCTGTAAGCCTGGGTGTGTGGGCTGGGGTTTTTGGCAGGTGGAGATGAAGAGGGTGATGCAATGCCACAGGCAGTTGCTCAGGCCTTCCTAAAGGGGCTTTCCAAGAGCGGGAGAACTCTTGAGCTTCCTTCCTGTAGAAGGTGGGTGGTGGTTTGGGCTGTTTGTTTGCTGTTGAGAATATCTTGTGCGTTTTACACACACCCACGCCCACTCACCCCCCCTAGCCCTTGGTCACCAGAGCCAGTTATTGATCACTGAAGCTACTCAAAAGAAGGAACCATAAGAGAAATTGGACTTTATTCAATGTCCGCCACCCACTTGCATCCAGGACAAGGGATCCTGTCTCTTCTGGTCATGGCTCACCTGCTAGAAAATGGGAAATGCTTCCTGGCTGAGAAAGGCCCAAATAGCTGATTAAACATTGCATTTGTAGAATGGACTGATCCAACGCTGCCGGGGAATAGGGGGGTGTGGAACAGAATAGAGCCATGGGATTTAGCTCCTGGAAAGTGACTCGTTATCGGACCAACTTCTCCAGCAGCAGGTTTGGCCCTGAACCGTTGTGGTGAAGCTGCAGTTGTGGTTAATGACTCCAGTACTTGGCATGGCTTTTCCTGTAGGTTGTATCCCCTTAGAACAAGGTGGGTCTGGGTCTGGTACGTGAAAACTACTCAGTGTTTTCATTTGCTTTCCCTGCCCGCAGCAAACAGCGGCACAACAAACTGTGGCGCTCGCACTCCGACAGCGACCTCTCGGATCACCACGAGCCCATCTGCAAGTCTGGGCTGGAGCTGAACAAAAAGGAGATCACCACCTCAGCCGACCAGATCTCGGAGGCAAAGACCAACGACAACCAGCAGCCCATGTCTCCCATCTATTCAGCTGAGCTGGACAGGGAGCAGCAGCCTCCAGAGGACACAAATATGATCGAGGATGTGTGTGCAAAGGAGAGAAGGATCCACTTAGAGTTTACATGCCGAGACTTCCACGCTGAGCAGATGGAGGACAAGCTGAACCTGAACAATATCAATGGTTGTACGACGGGGTGTTGTGTAGACTCTGTCCCCCCTGATAACTGCCATTCTTCTGAGGCCTTAATGCAGCTCCAGCACCCCTTGGAAATAACGGAGTTTCCTGATTTGACAGTGGACGATCTAGAAAAAGATGCCCTTAAGCCTGATATGAACGTGCACTTGGTTCCCATGGAAGAATTCACTTCATGCTTAAAAGACTCTCCTCAATCCCCAAACCAAAATTCCCCGAGTCTCCAGCAGAATCCTCAGCCCGAAGGGACAGACCTCAGTACAGACAGGATCGATTTCTTCAGCGCTTTGGAGAAATTTGTGGAGCTTTCCCAGGAGAGCCGGTCACGCACCTGCTCCCATTCCAGGCCGGAGGAGCAAGGGAGTGGAAGGAACGGGGTCTCCAGGGTGCCCGTGCTGGAAGTGCCACCTGCTGCTGATGGGGGTGCAGATGCTCGAAGGAACAGCCCTGGAAACTCTCCTCAGGCATCAGATGACTCTTCCACAGATGAAGAACAACAAAAGGTTAAAATAACGTGCTTGTTTTTTTAGGAACTGCTGTTCAAACCTATCCCTGGGCAGTTCTCCTGTTGTAGGGGGTGCTGTGGATAGGATTTTCTAGCCCTGCTTTCACTGGACAGGGTGGCTGTTTGGGAAAGGATTGCTGGATGCTTCACTCTTCCTTCACTTTTAGATACTTGCCCTTTTCTGCACTTTTTCCTTAAACATCAGTTTGCTGGCATTGGCAGGGCACTGGCTGAGCTGACCTTGACCTGACCTGCTGTGCTGTTCTCGTGAGAAACTTATTTTTGAATTTTGCATCAGGAGAGCAGAAAGGTGGGATTTGACCCACTAATACAGCTGGACCCTGCACAGCCAAACCCAGCTAATGTCCCAAACCTGCACGGATATTTATCTGACTTGAGAAATCCACCAAAGAATGGGGCAAAACTAGTGCCTTTCCCTGGTTGGGAAGCACCAGCACTGGGGTAGTAAATCAAGGCAGATGTACAGCTTCCACTGCTGGAGGAAGAAATGAGCCTGTCCAGATCTAGAGTGATGGCATTGGGCATGTCATGGCTCACTTCTCTCCTGAATAGAGAGATGGTCCTGAACAAAATTTAGTAACCTCTAAATTTAGGTAATCGCTTTTCAGCCTCCAGGACTCTCACAGGGATTGATGATGTCCGGGGCCATCGTTTTCTGGGAGCCTCTCTTATTTAAATTCCACGCTGCATTGCTTGAATCCTTTCCATCTCCATGTGAGGCAATAAGGCTCTTCCAAATATAATAGGGCAACGCTCTCTCCAGTGATTTGGCAGTGTCTGTGGGGATGGAGAGCCTCTCTGGCCATTTTCCTCCAGGAAACCAGAGCGTTTCAGCACTTGGTCATTCTTTTTGCTGTACTTCTGTTTGCTCTGTACGTGAGCAGAATCTCTCATATTTTCAGTTCAGAACTGCACTTTTAGCAGCATTAGGATTCTTTTTGTTAGCTGGATTTTTCTTTATTAAAAAAAAGAAAAGACTAAATTTTCCTTGGAGTTTGTGATGATTAAATAGAAGTTCTTAAATCTCAGTGTAAGTGAAATTAGTCAAAATCCAGCCTAGAATATGTTAAATTCAATCCCAGAGGCACTAATGCATCTACATTAGTGATCACTGCTCTTGTGATCCATCTCCACACACTGGCACATGCTTTTTTGTTCCTTTGGGATGTGTACCCCGGTCTCCTTTAAGCTGCTGCTGTTTGCGCTGTGTTGGCAGAGCTGATCCACTTTGTAATTTTCCTGTTTGTGTGTTGCAGGAGGTCCCTGAGCTGCCTAGTGCAGGTCATCTCACGAGATCCCACTCGGAAAATGCCATTTCTGTGAAGGAAATTATCACAGAGATCGAGTCAATCAACCAGGGAGCAGGACCTGCCCAGCAGAAAGAGGGCTCAGCCAACCTCAGCCAGACACCAAAGAGGAACACGGTGCATGACCTGCCAGTGGAGGCCATTTGGGCATTGGAAAGGGTGGAACAGAGTGAAGGAGCCTGTGCTGGACACCAGGAAAAGGAGAAGGACCCTCTGCTGGCTGAGGAAGAAGCTGCCCCCTCCCTGCAGCCATCTGGTAAATCAGAGCTGGAGGAAAGTGGCTCTGCGGGGGAGCAGCAAGAGCCTCGTGGCTCCACCAACCCTGAGCCCAAGTGGTGCCCCGGCTCCGTCCGGCGAGCCACGCTGGAGTTTGAGGAGCGCTTGAGACAGGAGCAGGAGCACCAGCACACATCCCCCGTCTGCACCTTACCCACCCGCAAGAACTCCAGGAACGACTCTCCTGCTGCCGAGCTCCTGCCGCGGGGGAAGAGTGAGGAGCCGCCCCTGGAGCTGGCTCCGGAGGGTGACAGGGCGCAGACACCGGGCACTGAGGAGCCTCTGCTGCCTCCTGGGGCAGAGCTGCCTGCGCCCCTCACCCCCCCTGCTGCAGAGCCCAGCCTGAGGCAGGAGGGAGCGGTGCAGGAGCACAGGACAGTGGTCTCGTTTGATGGGACGGAGGAGCCACCCCTGCCCTCCCTCCTCCCAAAGAGAGTCGAAATCATCGAATACACTCCCATGGTCAAGTCTGCAGAGCAGCACCCTGACACAAGCTGTGAGCAGGGCTGGCTGGCCACGGCCATCCCATCTTTAGATGAAAACTTGAACCCTTCAGTGTGCTTGGAGGAGGCTCCAACCTGTCTCGGAGCTCTGGCGGATCTCCCCCCGCCGGAGCACGCGGTACGCGAGCAGGCCACCCTCACTGCGGGCAGCCCCAGCGTGGAAGGTGGTGGGTTATCTGTTCACCTCGGTGCTGCCCCTCCCTCTGCCCAGGTGACCTCTACACCTTCAGCCAGCCTCGACCGCTCTCCTTATCCCTATGTAATCCACCTGGAAGGTGTCACTGAGCAGAGCACGGGTACAGACGATGAGCCAGTCATGCCGTGTGGCATCGAGGGAGACACGACTCTGCTGTTCAGGGACAGACCCAAACCTCTCTGCGGGGGCGGTGACAGCATCTCAAGGCAGCTGAGCAGGGAGGACTTCACCAGCCAGGATGCCGAAAACATGGACCTTCTGGACATCTCGTTCCTGTGTTACAGCCTCCCGCACAGCCCCAGCAGCCGCAGTGTGGAGGAGCGCAGCAGCAGCCCCGGGCTGGTCAAGCAGCGAGCGAAGGAAATAGAGGCTCGGATCCGGCACGCGGGGCTCACCACACCCTCCCACATGAAACGCTCGGCATCCTTGGCCAAACTGGACTGCCTGGACCTCTCCAAGGACGACTTGTGCGAGAGGGAGTCTGCCTCAGCCTCTTCCCATGCCAACCCGGTGCTTCTCACCTGCGTTGCCCTCGGTCGAGGCTTTTGCGAGGGAAGGTTGGAGAGGGGCTCGGAAAGCACGTGTGGAAAGCATCGCCTTTCCTCCCCGGAGCCCACTAAGCATTTTGTGGAACAGCTCAGAACAGCCGAGTGCATTGCCCAGAGCAAGCCGGTGGAGAGGCCGCTGGCTCAGTACGCCAAAGAGTGCGGCTCCAGCCAGCAGAGTTTGTGTTCCAGCACGGATCCGACGTGGACTAGCTCCGAGGAGGGTCCTCCGCTGCTCCAGGTGCAGGTCCTGGACTCCTTGTCTCCAGCTCAAGGTCTGGCTGTCGCACCTCGGCAGCAGCACGGGAGAACTCACCCTCTGAGGAGGCTCAAAAAGACCAATGAGAAAAAGCGGACAACCAATCCCCTCTACAACACGATGTGATCCCGGGCCCTTGGCTGTGATTTCTTACTCAGAACCCGTGGTGTTGCTTTCACACAAGGGGAAGGTGTAATATAAGGAACATGCACTTTACTGGTTAATTTTATATATATTGTCATTTTACTGTTCCTGGCGCATGTAGGTGTGGGTTGGTTCTTCTGTGTGTGACTCTGACTGCAGGACTGTTTGGGTTTTTTTAAGTTTTTTAACTCAGATAACCTCAAATGTTCTTTTTTTTTTTTTTTTGTTAGTTTGTTTTAAAAGAACACCTTTATCATGCGAAAATTGATGTTGGCTAGCTTTGGCAAGGTGGAGTTTTGCTTAGAACCAGATCCTAGCTCCTAACTTGAATTCTCCCCATGCCTTGAAATGGTGCTGGGCAGTTGGTGGGGTGGGAGCCCCCGTAAATGTGAAGGCTGTGCCAAGGTCCCTTTGTTTGGCCTTTTATTTCTGCAAACTGGAACTCCACCATGCTGGCAGGTCCCTCACAAAGCTGCTTCAGGACAAACCCCCCCCCCCGGGCTCAGTTCAGCTGGTGCTTCCCAAAAAGGAGCACACAGGGGTAAATCCTCCCAAGGGATGGGCAGCACTGAGACCTGCACTCCTCACCTAGCATGGGGCACACAGAGCCCTGTTCTGTGGTGAGGTAGGGCAGAGCTCCTCCATGAGCTGCCAAGCTCGCCTCTACCCCCAAAGCCAGCGTGTTCTTTTAAAACAAACACCTCATTAGGGTTTTAACCCTCCCATTACTTGAATACTGCTGTGGGCCTTCTAAGTTCATGGCCATATCATCTGTCCTCTGCCCTCCTGCTGCCTCCCCTCTGCCCAAAAGCTGTTCTCGTGCTGCCTGAGTTTTCCTCTCCCCTCTGCTGTGCTCACAGGCATTTCTGGTTGCTCCCAAACCTCAACCTGTTACCATTGTTACACAACAATTGTTGCCCTTAATGCAAAGCTTTGTCCTCTCTGCTGTCACTCCTAACTCTTGACCCAGAGGGAAGATGTTTTCTGGAATTTTTCTTTTTTTTTTTTTTTGCCTAAATTGTATATATGATATTTATATGAGGGGGGTTTTTTTTGTTGTTGTTTCTATGTTTTTTTTTGTTTTTTTTAAAAAGGGCAAGACTGCATTCTGTAAACTGGAAAACAAACCCACCTGACTCAAACTCAGTGCTGTTCATTGTGATCTGCACAGACATGGGAGTGGATTTGACATTGTAAGCTGTCTTCCCTTTCCAAAAGTGAGCCTCGATGCCAGCCTTTGCCAAATGTGTCCCTTCTCCTTTGGTCCTGTGTGAACCCCCATTACTACCCCACTGTGGGAGGAGCACTGTGTCTCTGCCTGTCTCCCTCCTGCTGGAAGCTGGGTTACAGAAGTGCCAGTCAGATGTGGAAAGCTGTCAGCAGGTTCCAAGCCATTCTTCAGGTTCTTGCTTCCCTGGAGAAACTGCGTTGGAAGGGTCTGCTCCAAATTCTAGCAAACTGTTTAGTGATTTCTGAGCAGTTTGGCTAAATCAAAGGTCCTCCTTTCCAGCTGCATGTATCAGCAAGTTGTCCCTGTGCTGTAGGAGCAGAGGGAAAGGCACTTGGCCATGGCAGGGGAGCTCTGGGTCCTGTTTGCAGTCCCATGGCAGGTCCTGTCTGAGCTGGTGCTTGGCTTGGGCCCAGACCTGCCCTCCGGGGAGGAACGAAGCACAGGGAAGATGCAGAATGGCTCCAGCTGCTGAAGCCCAGCATGGAGAGGACACGGTGTGGGAGGAGCAGCAGCCAAGGCTGTGCCTAGAAAGCAGCACTGATACTGCAGAGCCTTGTAGACTCTGATGGGACAAACTCATCTTGAGCTGGAGAGGAGTGCCCGGCACCGGAGTGCTGGGGAGTATTGGGAAGCAGCATGTGCCTGCCCTGGGAGAGGGGTGTCTGTGACACCTCAGCTGGCAGCAGAGGAGAGCCTGGCAGTTGGCAAGGTAATCCCTCCTTGCTGCCCTGCTGTAGCTCCCAGGGATCCTCCTGTGCTGCTTTGCAGCCCGGGCACAGGTCTGTGAGTTGGTCTGTGCTCCAGCAGCCACGAGCACTGTCCCTCCCTTTCCGTGGAGCTTGAGCTCTGGGAGGATGTTGCTGCCCATGCTCGCTGCGGGCTGGAGCGCAGCCCTGTCTGGGGTCAAATACCACGTCGCCCCAGGCCATTTCAGTCACTAGAAGTCACCTAAGCCCCTGGCCTGGGAGGCCAGTTACTTCTTTGGGACACTGAAAGACATGTGGCTTCTCCTAGCCTGCTCCAGCTGGCTCCGGAGCTGGGCAGACACTGTGCAAAGGCCAAGTGGCTCATGTCATCTGGTGAAGGACAGATTCAGTCCTTGCCTCCCCCACAAACATCACCAGGCCCTGCTGCCCACTGTTCCTGGCCCCAAGGACATGCCTGCCTGCCCCTCTGCAGGCGGAAGGGATGGGTTGCCACCAAGCCTGCCCTGCGTTGGAGGGAACAAGCTTGGCTGTCAGCGTGTCCTGGTGACAAGGATCTGCTGGGGAGGGGAAAGCCCTCTGTAAAATTTGTTCCCTTAAGAAGGCAGGAGGAGGAGGAAGAGGACTGGGTTTCTTTGCCCAGCTTGATCTCAGGAGAAATGCCCTCTAGGAAGGGTCTTCCATGCAGACCAGAAATGCTGCTTCCTTCCAATACTCAGCTGCTCTCTGGGTGCTTCAGCTGGGGAGAGCAGCGAAGGGGCAGAGGCCCCTGCAGGGAGGTGCTTTGCTGTCCCCTTGTCCTGGGCTCTGGCCCAGCACAACTGGTTTTTCTCTGGGAAGGCTGTGGACAGGCAGAGGGAGTCAGGGATGGTGGTTCTCTTGCAGAGTGATGAAGGCCTTGGAGGTCTGGAGGCTCTGAGCAGGATGGCAGGAAGGGGGCAGACTGGAGGGGCCTGAACCTCCTTGACCAGTGTCTGGGCAATGAAGCCACCAAGCCCCTGGCATCAGAGGTCTCTGCCTGGGGACAGTTGTCCCTTTCTCCATGCTGGTGGCTCATGGGAGGGTGGTGACTCGCTCCTGCTTCCCGTGACCACCCCATGAGAGCTGCTTGTGCCCTGCAGAGCACCACGAGGAGCTGCACCTCCAGGGTGCTCAGCAGCCGCCAAGCCTCGCGGATGGAGGGGTTTTAGGAGAAAACGTGTTTTAAGGGCATTTTTGTACAAAGCAACTGTTCTTTGGTCTCTTGCGAAGCCTCTCGGAGGACGCTTTATTGTTTACATTGACTCCTGTACAATATCCCAGCCATCGCCTCCCGTCTCGGCCGTACTGTAACGTGTGAGCCTTGCACAAACGGACTGCGTGTGCGTGAAACTGGTTCTACACTGCGTTCTGTTGCACTCGGTGGTGTGTGTGTGTGCGTGTGTGTGTCTGGTCTGCTTGAGAAGTTGTGACATGTACAAATCTCCCCCCTTTTGGCCCTTTCCTGGGGCATGGTCCCGGCGGGTGGCAGGAGGTGACGCCGCTTCGGGGTCACTTGGATGTTGAACGGAGCAGGGATTGGCTCCGTGTCTGTCTGCCAGCAAAGGCCTGGTGGAAGGGAACCCGCCCCAGCTCCAGCTGCTCCGGGGACCTCCTGGAAGGAGTGAGCTGCCTGGAATCCGTGGGCACCGGTGCACTGCACCTGCCCAGGGGGCTCCAAGAGCCTCGCAGCTCTCCCGGCCCACTGGCAGGAGGAAGCCATACCCGCTGCAGGTCCCTGCTCCCCGCACGGTGCATCCTGCCTTAATCTGGTCCTGGCTCCACGCAAGGCCCCCCCACTTCTCCCTAAGGGAGGGACCCCCAAGCCCTTGCTGGCACGGGGCAGAGGCTCTGGCTTGGCGCAGGAGTGTCCGGCAGTGCCGCCAGAGGTGCTGCCAGCCTGTGCTGCAGACATCTCTGTTGGCACAAGAGAAGGTGCCAGTGCCTTTTATTTTCCTTTATGGAGATGTGACGTCCGTGCGCTGGTTTGTAGGGATCGCCCAGGGCCGGGCAGCTGGTGGTGGGGTTGCAAATCAGGGAGGGGAGCGCTTCTGTCTGCCCCTCCTGGATCTTCCTTGGTGGCTGGGATCGTCCCCTTTTCCCCTAAAGACTCTATGACCGATGTGCTCAGCTGTTTTTAAATGTGAACTTGTGCACTGATGTGCAGATTCAATGTTATTGTTACCGAATGAATAAAACTTTATTTTGAAGATGACGTGGGTGTGTGGCCTTGTCTGGGGGGATCAGGGCTGGGGGTGAGGAGTGATCCGTGCTGCTCTCAGAGCACGGGGCAGCGGTGGGAAGCTGGGGAGCCAGAGTGGGGTTGTTCACTTACATCCCCTGACAGACCCTGAGAACGGGTCTGTCCTGTCCCAAGTGATGGAGCTGTGCTTCCAAGCAAGATGTACCTCCAGATCCTGCTGCAGTTGCAGGACAGGTGCCAGGGGTTGTGCATGTAAAGCTGTTGGGATGCTGTGGGTGACCTCCCTGCACTGCTGCAGGCAGAGCTGTGGGGAGGGTCCTGGGGTTTAAGCTCCAAGGAGGATGTGAGGTTTTAGCCAGACACCGAACCAGACCCATCATGGTTGGCCAAGGAGCTGAGCCAAATCCAAGCACCAAATAACCATGGCATGAGTGGACCTTTTCATTGGGAAACAGCCCATCTTGGGTGAGTTGGTTTTGCACACTGTTCTGTCCCATTGTGGTAAGAAAGTGGCACAAGGGTCTCTGTGGGCTCCCACTGCCCTTGCTGTGAGCAAGGGAATGCTGAGAGCACCAGATCCCTCGGGCTCAGCCTCATCTTCCGGGAAGCTTTCCACTGGGCCAGGGCATCAGGGTGTGGGGCCAGGGGTGCAGGGCCATTGCTGTGGGGCGGGCAGTGTCTCCAGGGTGCCCAATTCCTTCCTGCTCCCCACAGCACCAGCTGGGGAAAGGCTTCCCATGGCCTTTTCTCCAGTTGCTGAGGATGTGGCTTGGAGCTGGGGACACAGGGCTCACTCCATCCCCAAAGGCAGAATGAACCAGGGCCATGGTGGGG